AGAATTCTAAACAGAGATGTGTCATGTCCTGAAAACTGGAAAAAGAGCCTTTTCTTCCCCAAACAACCTTTTCTGTCTGAAGCCCTTATCCAGGAAGCCCATTCACGTGGGAAGGTAAAAGATTAGCCCATCAGGGGGGATGTTTATTTTATTCATTTAAAGTTCTCCTGTAAGGCTCTGAGGCTCTGCCTCCGCGCCTGCGGACTGTGGGGTCCCAGGGGACAGTCCTCAGTCCCGGGGCCTCGGGAGGGAGGGGGGACAAGGCCCGGGTCCTCTGACAGGCGCGTGCAGGCGTCAGCTGAGTCGGAAACCCCAGCAGGGCCCGCGCCGCGGCTAGGAGGGTTTCAGGGTGTTTCTGCGGCGTCTGCTGGGAGCCGCCCTGGGTTGTGCTCTGTGGACCCCCAGCCTCCTCCCTCTGTCCGTCCCCTCCTCCCTCTCTCCAGAGCCCCCGGGCCCACACGAGGGGCGTAGGTCTCCTTCTCAGACAAGCTGGCGCCGTCAGAGCCTGTGACCCCTGTAGTCACCCGACTGGCTTCTCCCCCAAAGCCCAGGGAGGCTGCAGGGAGCAGCCAGACCCTGCCGGGCTCCGGGAAGGACCCTGGGGAGGCGCAGGCCTCCGGCTTCCTGGTCGGGAGGGTTCTGGGGTGTGAGCCCTGGGTGGGGAGGTCAGGGAGCCCCGAGCCCTTGATGGGGCATGCTGGCGTCTGCAGGGCGGGTCTCTGACGGACGCGCACACCGTTTCCGTTGGCCCAGTAGCCAGGCGGCCCTGTCTCTGTGCTCCTGAGAGGCCCAGCTTAGCGCTCAGGGTGATTCCCGGCCTCCCTCCCTCCCTGAAAGGAGGTTCTCAGACGTGGGGCCCACACTGTGCATTAAGCAAAAGGCCACACAGGACGGGCAGTGCAGGAAAGCCTTGCTGCCGGCCTTCCGTCCTCGTCAAGAGAAGCGAGGGACTGAGCGAGTGAAGGACGGAGGCGGGCGTCCCGTCCGGTCCCTCCCCAAGTGCCACTGGGGCCGCTGGCACCAGGCACCTCATGCCTCCCGACTTCGGGAAGGCCCCTCGGGATGGCCCCTCCCTGTTGGGACCCTGGTCTTGGGGACCCCGTGGCCAGCCTGGCCTCTTGGCCGTACAGGAGCCCCACCCAGGGGGAGGGAGTCACCTGGCGTCGCTCACACCCCCCCGTCCCAGCCGCAGCTGCAGCCCCCTGGCCGCTGCCCAGCCTGGGAGGCCCATCCCCCGGCCTGTTGTGCCAAGTGCCCGTTCCCCGAGGTGCTGAGCGCCCAGGGTCTCCGCTCTGTGCCTGAGACACGGCAGTGTCTTCCCTGGGGGGCGCTAGTGGGGGGTAACGGGGCACGAGGGCCATCTGGGCTTCTCGGGAAAGTGTCGTGACGGTCTCCTTAGGACCTCTGGCCAGGTGTCCTTTGACCTGTATCCCGAGTGAGAAGTGGCCTGCGTGCCAGGATCTGCCAGCGCTGGGCACTTGATCCTGACCCGTATCCGGAAGCTGCTAGCGCGCGTCTGCTGCGCTTGGTATCGAGTTGGTGTCCATGGGCTCGGAAGCTCGGGGCCTGGGGTCCTGGCCACCTCAGCCAGCACCCCGGGACCCCTGGGCCTGGGGGCGCCGTGGCTTTGGTTTGTCACGTTTTCCAAACCCAAGAGGAGGGTGCTGGGCGGAGCCCTCAGGAGGCGTCGGGTGGGGGTTTGAACTCGCGGCGGTTCCAGAAGGTTCCTGCCTGAGTCCCCCCTCTCCCAGCCCTGCAGTGATGGCGCCACATTCCCCCGCAGGCTCGAAGGAGTCCCTGTTCTCCTGTGCCCTCACGGCCAGCGAGGAGGCCATGGCGGTGCTGGAGGAGGTCATCCTGTGCGCCTTCCAGCAGTGTGTCTACTATGTCTCCAAGGTACGGCCTCTGTGCGTGCGTTCTCCCGGGGGACCTGGGTGCCAGCCCGGCCCCCTCTGCCCGCCTGGACCCCGGCCTCGGGCCCCTGGCCCCCTCACCCGCTGTTGCTCTCGTCGAGCGAGTCCTCTGCCCCAGCGCGGGGCCAGCGAGCGAGAGAGACGGGGCCGGCTGCTCTGGGGAGGCGGCTCGGACGGCGGGACAGCCGTGCGGTGGTTCCGGCTGCCGTGGCCTCGGCTCCCCTGGCCGCGCCGGCCTTCACGCTGGTGGGGGCAGCCGTGCGGCCGCGTCTCGGGAGCCGAGCGGGGTACCCCGGGGCTCCGCCGTGTCCTTGGGTCAGCGGGGCTCAATCGCGCGCCCCCCCCCCCCCCCCCGCAAAACACATCTCATAAAAAA